AGAAAGAAAGAAAGAAAGAGAGAGAGAGAAAGAGAAAGGAAGGAAGCAAGGAAGGAAGGAAGGAAGGAAGAGCAAGAGCACACATGCATGCAAGAGAGAGACAGAGACAGAGAGAAAGAGAGAGACAGAGAGAGGAAGGAAGAAAGACTGAGAAGACATCAGCAACGGCAGAACTATATCCCTGATTTGTTGCCATAAAACAAAATCTTTATGACACTTGCATGCATGTATTAAAGATATTGTCAGTGAAGAAAGATGACAGATAGATACATAGATACATAGCCAGCAGATAGGTAGACAGATGGATAAATAGAAGATAAGCGATACAGTGAATTTTGTCTTGCCGCTGGACTTTGATGACTCAGGAAGAAGTGAGGCTGATGACTTTGTGCAATTCTACCTCACTTAAATCCAATTCCTGCTCAAGTCAAGACATCACTCTGTGATGTTATCAGTCCTCTTCAAAAATAACACACAAAAGCATTTATGAAGTGCATACTCTATGTCAGGCACTGTGCTAAGCACTGGAAATAAAAATGCAAGCAAAACAGAAATAGAGTTCCAGGCCTCAAAGAGCTTGCACTCTAGTGGGAGCAGACAGCACATGAAAGGGAGCTGAAAAATGAGGAGGGGCGAGAATGAGCACAGAAAGTACCTACCTGGGGATAGAGTGGAGATGTAGTCTGAGGTGCCATGGGCTGTTATGAATTTAGGAGCCAAATATCTGACAAAATTTGTCTACAGTGGTACATGTGTTTATAGGCACACAGTTGACCAAGAGGTACAGAGAACAAAAAATTCTGTTGTATATTTAGTGCTGCTTATGAGAGTACCTAGGCTAATTAAAAAAAAAAAAAGAAAAAGAAAAAGAAAACTTAAGCTAAAAGTGGCCTGTGAATAAACTCCTCACATGAATTGAGTTAGTCTTAATTGCTTATAAAACAAATGTTTGGTTCAAACGATTATCACATGCCATAAAAAATCAAATGGATAGCATTTATTTGGTGCTAGAATCATAAATTAAAGGATGACAGATTTAGAGTAGGAAGGAATCTCACACATCATTGATTCCAACCTATCAATTTTATGGATGAAGAAACTGAGGCCAAAAGAGGTTCAGGGACTTACTCAAGGTCATGGAATTAGGATTTGAACTCCAGTCTTCTGAACCCAAACCCAGATCTTTTCCCACTACACCCTACTCACTCTAGAAATATTTAGACTCACAGTCCTAGAGCAGGGATGGTGAACCTGTGGCTTCAAGGCCACATGTGGCCCTGTAGGTCCTCAAGTGCAGCCCTTTGACTGAATCCAAACTTCACAGAACAAATCCCCTTAATAAAAGCATTTGTTCTGTAAAACTTGGACTCAGTCAAAATACCACACCCAAGGACCTAGAAGCCTAGAGGCCACAGCTTCCTCACCTTGTCCTAGAGTCTTAGACTCACAGAACCCCACTGTGGGAAGGGATCACAGAGACAACCTTTACTTCACCTTCTACCTCATCACCACCAAAAAAAAGGAAAAAAAGAAAATGCTCTGCATTTGTTTTATTGTGGAAATGTTATTTAGGAAACATTTGCTAATGTGGTCATCAACAAAATGTCCTGAAGGAAATGGATATTAATTGCATATGCAGACCTTTAACAGAATTTTAATTTAACTCCCAACACAACCATGGCAACTTAATCTAGTATACCAACTTCAGCTGCTATTTTCATTCTGGAAAGATCTGAGTCACTAAGAGCACAGTGCATTTTCAAACTCCCATATCCAAAGGAATTAATTAATGGTAGAATAATTAGAGAATCATAGACCAGCTCTAAAACAATCACCCTGACAAGAGCAATCCTTCATCCTTATCGGAAACTTTGTTAAAGACTGCATTTGAGAGGCAACATTGCAAAGTGGATAGCATTCTGGCTTTGGAGTCAGGAAGACTGGTTTGACTTCTACTCAGATATTTATGACCTCAGTTTCCTTATCTGGTAAATAAAGGCTTCTAAGATCACTTCCAACTCTATATCCATGACCCCGTGATTTACTAACCCATCAAATTCATAAGAAAAGAAGAATGATACTCTCCTGCCTTTATACTGGAAAGTTCCCCACATGTCCCCCTTCAATCCTGCCTCAAAGAGTCCTTCTCTTCCTTCAAGAAGCAGCTCTGGACTCTGATGACTCTGGAGGAGAAAGTGAGGCTCCCCTCTGCCTCACCGAAATCCAAATTCTCAAGCAATTCATGACATCACCCTCAGATGTCATTGGACCTCTTGGAGAAAGAGGCATGAACAACAACAGCAGCTCAGGTGCCATCTTCGTTCTGCATGAAGCCTTTGCTGATTTCCCCCTTGCCTAGAGGCCAGTAATAGGAAACCGATCACTTAATGCAGCTGGATGAATGAAAAGTGCTCCAGATTCTGAATTTGGAAAATCATTCTAGTCATTGCTTTCCTCCTAACTCAATGAGTGGCATTCCCCTCTCTGGGCTTCAGTTTCTTCATCTCTAAAATCAGGCGGCTAGACTAGATGATCTTCCAGGTCCTTTCCAGCTTTGACATTTTATTTTCTAAGGTCCCTTCCAGCTGTGGTATAATAGGGAGAATGTTGGGTTTTAATCACCCCTCTATAGCTCACTGGCTCTGTGATTTTGCAAAAGTCATCTTACCCCTCTCAGCCTTGGTTTCCTTATCTGTAAAATGAGGAGAGTGATACTTACGCCACCTACTTTACCGAGGTGTGAGGAAAATACTTGGAAAATCTTAAAGCACTAACAAAATGGGAGCTATTTTTATTCTTCTGGCTCTTTTTCTACTGTATTGAGGTCTGTCCTAGTTCTGACCTTTTATGGCAGCTAGATGGCTCACTGGATAGATCACTGGGCCTGGAGTCATGAAGACCTCAGTCAGGCCCTGCCTCACATACTCATTAGCTGGGTGACCCTGGGCAGGTCACTTAATCTCTGCTTGCCTCAAGTTTTTGTGACTATAACATGGGGATAATAATAGGACCTACATTGCATGGGTGTTGTGAGGATCTGATGAGATCATATTTATGAATGCTTAGCACAGTGTCTGGCACATAGCAGACGTTTAATACATGCTCGTTCCCTCCTTTCCTATAATTCTAATATCCTTTCCAGCTCTGACATGATTTCAAAAGATCCCTTCTAATGCCAGCACTCAATGTCTTAGGAACACAAATTCAGTTGATTCTTTGGATAGGTTTACTAAGGGCCAATTTGTAGGTTAGTGGCTCTTTACAGACCATCGTTCATCACCCTCGTTGCCCTGGGAATATGTCTATGCACTAGTTGATTTCTGTTATAAAATATAGAAGAGGGAAAAAAGAATTTTAGAAATATTCCAATCTATTTAATAGATAGGAAAACTGAGACATAGAGTAATTGTGCTGATAGCAACTCTCATTACCTTGGGGAACAGTGGAACCAACTCCCTTTTTAGAATTTAATATCCCCTGATAAGTTTATAGAAGGGTGGCTAGGTGGTGCAGTGGATGGAGCACTGCGCCTGGAGCCTGGAAGACCTGGCCTAGCTGTATGACCCTGGGCAAGTCACTTAACCCCACTTTCCTCAGTTTCCTCATCTGTAAAATGATCTGGAGAAGGAAATAGCAAACCACTCCATTATCTTTGCCAAGAAAACCCCTAATGGGGTCACAAAGAGTCAGACATGACTGATCAACAACAAAAAGCAACATTATTAATTAATCTTTTTTTTTCCTCCTTCACACTTCCTAGGCACCTCCATGCATAGGACAGGCACACAGGTACATAATAAACATTTTTGATTGATTACCTGCAGCAGCTAACTCAGTTCAAATTATTTGACCATGTTTAATACTCAGGTTGGTCAAATAGAGAAGACCATTCTCTTCAAAAAGGCACAATAGAGAAATGAAATTTAACTTGAAAGTGAAAATCAAACATTATCTATTAAATGCCTACTACATGAAAAGGGCTAAGAGGGATACAAAGATGAGCCAGACTTAGTCCTACCCTCATTAAACTTAGTCTGTTAGGGGAGACAGGAGCAATATATGTGCATATAAGTATAATATAAAACAGAATGTGGTAAGTGCATAAGTGAGTTACAAAGTTACAAGGAGGGAAAAACCATTTAAAATGAATTAGGAAAGGCATCAGGCAGAAGGTAACATTTGATCAGGTCCACGAATATCAACCTCTTCCTTTAAGAGATTGAGTGACTTACCCACACTCACACAGGCAATAAAGTGAGAGGAAGAAGGAAAGGGAACAAAATATATACTAAGGGACTACCATGTGTCAGGCAATGCGCTAAAAGCTTTACAAATATCATCTCATCTGATCCTCAAAGCAATCCTGCAAAGTAGATGCTATCATTATCCCCATTTTAGAGTTGAGGAAACTGAGGCAGACAGCAGTTAAATGACTTGCCCAGGTCACATAGCTAGTAAGTGTTTGAGGAGGGAATATGAAATTAGATCTTCCTGACTGCAAGTCTAACACTGTCTCACCTAGTTACCTAGTGGGCTACATCTAATATAGTCACCTCTGCCTCCTCTGAAGCTTTTTCTGTAGCGGCTAACGAGTACCTGAACTGCCCCATCTGTGTCCACTGGAGTCTCCTCTGATATCTTTGAATCTCTACCATCTCCTCCTTCCTTCCCTGCCCCTAGATGCTCATTATCTCACCCATCTGCACATGGCTTCATATTTTCATTGAGCTATTTTCCCCCATACATAAAATCTGCCTTACCGGCACCACAATAACAGTACCCCAAAGAGACTGTTTCCAACACTGCTCTTGTCTTTTCCAGAGTAGCCAGCACAGTACTGGGATCATAATGGTGTTGAGCAAAGTGTCTATGCACAGCGGGAGAGAGGTGTAGGTCATCTCCTACAAAACTGTTAGCCCACTTGTGTCAGTAGATGGCGTACTCGTCCATTAAATCACTATCACTAGCCTATGGAAAAGTAAAATACTGTATCCACAAACCTATGTCACAGAGACTTCCGATCCAGCCATCCTCACAGATACATTGCCAGGGTAGGGAACAACTTCCATGTAGACAGCCAGGAAAGGGCATACACTCATTGCACAGGGGTCCCTGCCAACCAGGTCGACATCTGCAAGAGTCCAAGAGTTTATTGGAGGTAAAATTAATCAAGTCATTATCTGATGTAATTAAGCTGAAATTTCCACTCAGCTCAGAAATTAGGAAGAAAAAAAGTAGAAGAGATCACTGGTAAAGACAGAAGGAAAAGAAAATGAGAAGACCTAAGCAGATCATAGAAACATAAAGGAAAAAGAAAAATATTGAGGATCAGAACCCCTAATTGTCACTGCAAGTAGAATATAAGTTCCTTGAGGTCAGGGCTGCCTCACTCTTATATCTGAAATCATAGCACTTATTTAGCACAGTGCCCAACACAGTAAATGTTTAATAAATGCTTGTTGATTGATGACGATAAATGGAGATCCTAAGAGATAGTGAGGCTGGAAAACTGGTACTTGGCACAAGTCCCAGCCATGAGGGAGAAAATGGAAGTAAATACCCATCATCTGGCACCCTGTTCTGAGTCTGTCCAAGAGCAGCTTCCCTCTCCTCTCCCTGGTCCTCTCAATACCCCCTCTCAAAACCTACCTGTCTTAATACTTTCTGACCTCTCTCCTCTTGGCCTCTTGACTCATTCTTATATCGGAGTTACCTATGAGATTCCCAAATCACTATTCTCTTCAATACATTTTAATTTTTAAGTAAAATAAAGACAACTTCCATTTTGAAAGTACAAATAAAAAAGTAGAGGGGGAAATATAGTTCTGCTCTTCAAAAAATGTCACATTCTTGTTCCAATAATTCTGGAAAGCAATCTGGAATGTTGGGGGTTTTTTTTAAGTTACTAAAATTTCCATATCCATTGACCCAGAAATCACTGCTAGGCATATACCCCCAGAAAGCCAAAGACAAAAATAAATTTCCCATATACATAGAAATATTCATAACAATGCCTTTTGGGTAGAAGAACTGGAAAAAGTAGATGCCTATTAACTGAGGAATGGCTAAAAAAATGATACGTGAATCAAATGGAACAAGAAAAGATGAATGTGAACAATTTAGATAAGAATGGAAAAAATATGTGAACAGAATGAAGAACCAGGGAAACAACTTGCATAATGACTATAACAACGTAACTAAGGAAGAACAAAAACTGCAACTGAGTGGCTGTATCATTATAATGATCAAATTTGTCTCTAGAGGAAAAGTGAGAAAATGCACCTCACTCCCTTTTTTGCAGAGCTGGGGCGCTGCGGGTATGGAATATTGCACATATTGTCAGATTTGATTGAGATATTGGTTAGTTTTGCTCAACTGTATTCCTTGCTTTTTAAATCATTGTTACAAGGAATAACTCCATTGTTAGAAGAAGGCAAAGGATATAAATTAAAGTGGCCAAAAAAAATGAAAAACTTTTAAAAGAAAAAAAAGGCACATTCTCAGAATACTTAAATGCTTCAGAACTAGCGATTTTAATCGGTGTGGACGCTGCCTCCAGCTATATAGGTAAGAATCCTATTACTCCCTTGATGGGTTTGTCCCACTAAAAAATTCATCAGCTGGTGTCCAATTTTATGGTGATAAGCCTCTCTACTAGGCTGGTCCTTAAAGGACAGATTCACACTTCTGCTAGAAGACCTTACTATTCAGCTTGAAAAGACCAACCCAAGCTTTAATTCTGCGGGCATAGCCTTCAAAATCCAAGGGTCACATCCACACTAGAATGAGGCATTGCGGATGGGGGTGGGCGGAAAGAGCTTTCAACCATAAGAAGCTTAAAATCTTCAGTCTAACCCAAGGCAAAATGCCAAAAGAGGAAAGCTTTTTTTTTTAAGTGAAGAACTTATGCATACCTAATAGCTCTTTGTCTACTGTGAGCCCACGCCTGGAATCATTAAACTGCCAATCCTAGTTGCCAGAAAGGGGGGCAGGGAGCAGTTTGAGAGTAGCAGCTTTGGAACTCCCCCACTCTAGTGGGCTGGACAACCCTCAACGGTGAATCCACCTGCCAATCACTAATCGATTAATTGACAAGCATTTATTGTCTTCTGTGTGCTAGGCACTGTGCCTAGTGCTGGGAATACAAAGAAAAAATTAAACAATCTCTGACCTTAATAACCTAACATGCTATCAAAAGAAATAACATAGACATGTATGAGTACATGAAAAATGTATCACCAAGCCAATATGGACTGGCCTCATGGACAGCTTGCCCCAGAGGCATATCCTGCTCAGTGAGGATAGTGGGGTTTCTAGGGGGAGGGGAGGGAAAGGGGGGAAGTCTCCTAGAAAATCTTTGAGCGTTATTTCAATCTTAGTAATACATCCAATATTATCCCAAATAACCACCCACCTCTCAGCCCCTTTCTCCTCACCTGCACTGGTCCTTGTCACAGATCCCTCTGTCCGGGTGACAGTCGACCTCACATTCCAGGCCTAAAATACAGAAAGGACCCTTAAACTCCAGAAAACAAAAAAGAGATAAAGAACTGGCATTTTTATAGGAGGAGCCTTGATAGGACTCCTTAAGGCGGCAGAAAGATTACCTTTGAGTCTTAAAGAGGTTGAATGGTCTCCAAACAGCATCAGAGAAAACCCTTTTCTTTTAAGCTAGTAAAAAAATAAAAGGTTAACTAACTTTTTTAAAAACCTCAATTGGCCCTCAAAGGTGCTACAAATGTCATTTTGTCACTGTAAAATCCATAATCTAAGTGATGGGGCTTCTTCCGCTGGGCTCCCGGGTATGACTTAGCTGTGAAACAATAGCAACCTGGAAATCTAAGTTACAGTCCCAGGCCACACATCCTTTCTAGCTCCTGAGATCCTCAGTTTCCTCATCTGTAAAATGGAGATCAAATGGAGGTCTGCAAAATCTATGCATTGCCTAGATCACAATTCTGTTGTTATCTGTTTTGTTTGAGGGGGTTCTCTTACGTCCATGAGTGGTCTGCACAAAATGTGCTCCTACTATTTGGAAAATACCCCAAACCTGGCTCCTTCAGATAGAAGGCGGGATACTAAGCTATAGACAGCGATGTACGATAGAGATCTCAAAGCACCTAGAGCTGGGGGGAGGAAGAAAGCTGCTCACAATCAGACAAATAAGGCTTGCCCAAAGATCTAGGACTTACATTGCACCCACCTTCTGCTCGGGGTCAGAACGTTTTATGTCAGGAACCTGAGATGTTTGCATAGTTTTAGGGTCTTAGGGCTGTGTGTCCTGGGGGAGGTGTCCAAGCCCCAAAGCTTCAGGCCCTCAGCCCTGGGCCTTGAGCTCCCTCTCAGCCACTATCCCTCCCGGCAGTGCCTAGACCTTTGGCCCTTTCCCGTCCTTCCCTAGGAGACTTTCTCTTGGAGAAGAGTAATGCCCTCCCAGGAGAAAAGTAGTGACCTCCCAGAAGGGAGCCTTCCAGACCAGCAGGAGATAAGGGAGCACTGCGCCAAAGGAGTACTGGGGCCGGATGGGCACGTCCCTAAGAAAAAAAAAAAAACAGGAAAGAGCACTTTCCCCTCTGGACACGCAGATTCCGTACCTAAGGAATAGTGGGGTGGAATCTAAGCTGTGGCTAAAGGAGGGGAAGCTAAAGAGCCTGGGGGAGATGCCTTACCTAGAGCAGAGAAGAAGCAAAAAGGTGGCCCAAGAACGCACAACAGCAGCAAGGATCCCGGGGCGAACATCGCAGCACCAGAGGGGTTTTACTTGGCCACTGGCTGCAGAGGGGAAAAAAAGAGTATCCGATGAGTCCGAATACTCCACCTCCTCGAGTAGCCTGAACAGCGGCCACCCGCTTTCTCAGATGCTTTTCCCAACAAGAGGTTGGTGCGGTCCAGTCTCCTGGGACCACCCCTGCGGGAGGACACACTCAGCTTCCAGTGCAGTCCCCGTAAAACCTCCCTTCCGCGCCGCCTTTGATCTCCGGGGTCCTTCCACGACCGCCCCAGGGTGCAGTGGCGCGCCCAGCCCAGCCAACCGAGTCTGCCTGCACTGAGAGGAACGTGGAGCAGAGCTAGATGGGGGAGCCGCACCCGCCGGCCGCCCACCCGCCGCCGCAGCAGCCCCCGCCCAGCCCCAGCTTACACTCCCTTCTCCTCCCTTGGTCCCGGGACTCGTGGGTGGCTGCGCTGCCTCAATCTGGGGAAGCGGGCAGTGCCATATGGCCCAGTCCGGTCTCAGTGCCCCAGGACCTTAAAGCTCTCCTTGTCCGACACTTTTATTTTAAAAATCAAAAGATTGAAAATTTAGAGCTCAGAGACTACGTATTGCAACAGATGAGCAAACTGAGGCCCCAGAGTTAAGTGCTTGCCCAAAGTCCCAGAGGCACGCAGCAGCAGACTCCGAATTCACCCGAATGTGAACTCCACTTCCCAACGACTGTGTTCCCTAGAATCAGAGAGAAGCCCCAGACTGCAGCGGGACCAGGTGGGATCTGTTTCCTGAGTATCCGTGTGCTCCTTCCTGCCTCCCACATCTTCTTCATGTATCTCGCACTTGGTGCCCAGTCACTTCCTTAGAAATGTGGATTCTAGTCTGAGACGAAAACTGGAGTGTGTGTACACCTTACTAGCTGTTAACCTGGAATTCTCTTCCCTTCTCCCAGTTACCTGGAGCCCCGAAGACAAGTGCTTATGTATTCAGGATCAGTTTTATGGAGCTGCTCTGGGAAAATTTGATTTGTGAGCATTTTCCTACCTTGGTTTTTGAGTCTTTATTCTCCTTAGTGCCCACCCATAGCTATCTTCTGCTGCTGAAACCTCACCTAATACTCTTGTCCCTCCCCTTCGCACAATCTAGGCCCACAGTGGTACCTCTGGGTACTTTATCCTTCCCTTGACCTTCTCCCAGGCAAAACTTCTGTTTCCTAGATGATCTGAACAGCTGAGGCATGTTGGGAACCAGGATTTAATGTGTCCCACACACAAGAGATTTCTGCTTTGAAAGAGGATCCCAAGAAGCAAGGCTAAAACAACTGGAATTACTTTCCAACAGATAACTTCAGCCACCTTCCAGGCAGGTGAAGGTGGAATGGGAAAGAGGTATTTTGGAGTAGGAATCATGGAAAATTCGAGCTGGAAGGGGCCCTAACATAGAATGTCAGAGCTGGAAAGGAGCTGAAATTCTGTAATTGCGTAATAGTAATTTACATGAGTTCCCTAGCAAGGGGTGATTGTATGTAGACTGCGCTCTTTTAGTACCAATTCTAAGAGTAAGAGACCTCAGACTAGCAGGTATCAAGAAACAGAGAGAGAGAATTTCTGGGTGTGATTCTGAGAGAGAAATGGGAAAAAAAAAGACCTCTTTTCTTAAAAAAAAAATCTTTTCCATTTCTCCTGTGGGTAACTGATCTCAATGCCTTTTTCAAGTGCCTAGGTAGGAAGTGTGTGTGTGTGTGTGTGTGTGTGTGTGTGTGTGTGTGTGTGTGTAATCTAGAGCCCTTTAGTTAATAAAGCATTATCCTTAAAAAAAAAAAAAAAAAAGCACTAACTGCTATGTGTAAAGCACTGTGCTAAGTACCAGGGATATAAAGAGAAGCACAGGACTCCCTACTCTCAGGAACTCTTTTTTTTTTTTAAGCAATCAGGGTTAAGTGACTTGCCCAGGGTCACACAGCTAGTAAGTGTCAAGTGTTTGATCTGAGGTCACATTTGAACTCAGATCCTGGCTTCAGGTCCTGATTCCTGACTTCAGGACCGTGCTCTATCCACTATGCCACCTAGCTGCCCCTAGGAACTCTTATTCTAATAGGGGAACAACAGATTTCAGGGGCAAGCCAAATGAAACTGTCCATGTACCTTGGCTGCAGCACCAAAGTAAGTGCTAATGCTTCTTTAATGCCATTTCCACTGATAAAATCATAGCACTTCCTGATGGTGAACCATTCCACAATTATCAGCTTTGGTGACAAGAGCTTTTTTTTTTTTCCTGGGTCTTCAGTAGCTGTAGCTGTAGTGCCTGCAGGAGCAGATGCCAGGCTGCATCTCCACAGGGGTTGCTTCACAGGATGATGGCTGAGGGTACTGGGCTGAAAGCATTGCTATTCCCAAGGCTGTTGGGTTCAGGGTCCTGAGCTGTCTCCATCAGAGAGATATACACCAGAGACATATACTTCAGAGCTCAAAGTCTGCATTTTTAAGTGGAATTTATTCTCGTGGGGGATGGGGCATGCACCTTAATGGGAAAGAAAGCAGGACAATTGGGTAAATAGGCTTCACAATTTGACAGCACATTCATTCATTAGTTCAATCAGAGATGCCACTTGAGTATGAAGTAATGGGAACAAAAATATTTATGGATACAAATTTGTCCAAATCCTCATAGGGAAGAATCATAGACATCTGCATTACAGTCAAAAGGAAATATGTGCCCCTCCTTACTGCTCCCCATACATACATGCAGTTTGACACTGGGGAGGATCAGTTTCAGTGATTTCCATCCTACCTCCCCCTTCTCACTTCTCCTTTAAAGCTTCAAGAGAGGAAAAATACATTGGATTAGAGTTGAGGAGTGAAGGCTCGTCTGGCCTGGTTCATTTTCTGAACTTGCTATATTCCTTCCACCTCCATGAGATATGGAGCAAAATAGGCTTCTTACCAGTGGAAGTCAAAATTAGATTTCTCATTTTGTTGCTTGGCATTGGAGATGTAATTGATGTCAAGTTCACAAGTCTATAATTACACAGTCATCATTCCAATTATTTTTAAAGGTCACTATTTGTCCCAGCTGCTGATACCAAGTGTTAGGAGATCCTCTGAAAAGTGTTAACATGTCTTAAAAAGGAAAACTCATTAGAAAGGGAGAGGGGAAAATAGAAAGAGATTGGAAACCTAATCATTCCTTGGCCACCTAATATATTTTTAATGGAAATATGGTAACACTTCATTTATCTGGCATCATTAGGAAATGTCCTGTTCCACATAAGTAAATCTTCCAAATAACCTAAGCTAACATGTTTAAACAGCATATTTACATGCATGTTTAAGAAATTTGAATGTAAATCTTTCTAAAAATCTGTCACACTTCCCTGCCTTATCAAGCATCACAACTTTTTCTTTATGACTCAGAATTATTATTATGACCTTGAAGTTTTACTACCTTCTCTACCTCAAAGTGTACTTCAAAATATGATCAAGAACAGTCAAATTCCTCAAAAGTGATAATTGAACAAAAACATACAAATGCAGATTGACTAGTGTAGAAGAGAATCACAGAATCATAGTGTTAGGGCTATAAGAGATCATTAAGGTCATCAAGTGAAACCCCTTCATTTTGTAGTAGGTTAAGAGACTTAAAATAATAGAATGTCAGTGGATAGGGGCATAAAAGATTCTCCCAGGTTAAGATTATGCTTTCTTTGGCATTAATAAGACTAGCATTCTCAGACTCTCAAACTCAAGTCTATATTCATGTTATAGTGAAAAAGCTACTGACTTTTGAGAGAATTGGATTCTTCTTGGTATTACCACTATCTAGATCAGGGTGGAGAACCTGTGGCCTTGAGGGCCCATGTGGCCCTCTAAGTCCTCAGGTGTGGCCCTTTGGCTGAATCCAAATTTCATAAACTTCACAAAGTTTGGGTTCAGTCAAAGGACCACACTTGAGGACCTAGAGGGCCACATGTGGCCTCCATACTGCAGGTTCCCCACCCCTGATCTAGCTTATGACCTTGAGCAAATGACATAATATCCATGAGCCACATTTTTTTTTCTGGAAAAAATCTGGGAAAAATGGGTTATACCCAATGACTTCTAAAGCCCTTACAGCCCTCACATCCTATAATTATGATTATATTGTTGTCATTCAGTTGTTTCAATCATGACCAACTCTTCGTGACCCTGTTTGGGGTTTTCCTGGCAAAGATACTGGAGCAGTTTGCCATTTCCTTCTCCAACTCAATTTACAGATGAAGAAAGTGAGGCAAACAGAGTTAAATGACTTGCCCAGGGTCACACAGCTAGTAAGTGTCTGAGGCCAGATTTGAACTCAGAAAGATGAGTCTTCCTGAATCTGGGCCCTACCCGCTATCCACTATGATAGATTATGATTGTACTTCAGCACTTATGAGTGAATATTACATTAGTATCCAGCTAGGGGAAATTAAAATGGGCAGCTGACTAACTTATTTTCCTCTCTACACATTCTTCACTCTCAACCCTATTATCTAAAGGTTGCCAGTTGCCACAAACTAGGAATCACAAAAAATGTTCAAAGTTTTAAAAATTCTCTTCAGCCCTTCTGACTGTTACTGCACAAGTATGTCGCTACTTTTAGACCAAAGCTTTCAACATAGTCACTGTGTGAACCCCCACCTTGTCTATCTCTCTCTTGGCAGTTTGTGCCTCCACATTTTCAAGTATTGGTTCCTATGGTGATGCTCTTTGCATGCCTTCCCTCTGGAGGCCTTACCTTGATGCTTAGAACAGCCACTCACTCAATGCACAAAGTGGGATTCACCAGAATCAAGTATTTGATTCTCTTAGTAGACAAACAATGGCTTCTGACAATTTGGTTTTTAGTTGTTCCAAGTTCAACCACCAGCTTACCTGCCTCAAAACCAAAAGCCCTAGTTGGGTGCTTGCACTTTAATTTGTTATGATCTACTTTAAAATAAGATTTTCTTGATGTTTTTATATCACCTGTATTTCCCACTGTAAGCCTTCCTCCACCCCCTCCCAAAGAGCATCCCTTATATAAAAGAAGGAAAAAAAAGTTCAGAAAAGTTAACATACAGAAAAAATCTGTGTTACATGAATCCGTGGTCCCCCACCTCTACAAAGAAGCAGGGGGGAAGGAACTTCTTGGGAAGTGGACCTGTGATTTCGTTGCTTTAGGGAACTACTAGATGAGGAAACTCTGTGCCAACGTGTTTTTGACACATTCTTTGCAATGTAGTTTTAGCATTACCTAGAGCCCTGAGAGGTTTAATTATTTTCCCAGGGTCACAGAGATGGTATGTGTCTGGGATGCAACTTGAACACAGGTTTTGCTGGCCCCAGACCAGATCTCTATCCACTACTCTGACCTGCTTCTATTACTAAATGTTTTTCAATTTATCTCATTGAACATTGGGTTGGTTTTTTTATTCATATTTAAAGTGGAGAAACCTGGGTTTATTTTTTTCTCCATCTGTGCTTCTAGTATTTTTTTTAAAATTGCCTTTTCCTATTACAACAGTATTTGTCTACAGAATTATTTTTGCTTAACTTACTTTGATGCAAACTATTCCCATAAGTTCTCCCCCCCTCTTATATCATATCCCCATTTATTAATGTTTTCTATTCTTTGGGAGATTTTTTGATTGATTAGATTTTTTTTGTGTGAGGCATGGAGTTAAGTGACTTGCCCAGGGTCACACAGCTAGTAAGTGTTATGTGTCTGAGGCCGCATTTG